ATGATGGGAGCTGGGTTTGTCAAAACACTTTTTCTGCTGAGCTGACTGTGGGTTTTGTCTTTTCAGACTGATTATAGACATGAAGCCCTCCCTGCATTCCCAGGGTGATTCCTCCATGGCTGTATGGAGTAGCCTTTATTGCTCACTGGATATGGTTTCCGTTCCTTTGGAGGTTTCGTGTATTTACCCAGAGGGTTGCCTTTCTGGGCTGCCTTTGTCTGGTTTGCTCAGAGCAATGCCACCTCAGAACATGAATTGGGAGGTGTTCTCCCCATTTTGTATTTGAGACCTGTCGCTGGTTCTGTGTGTGTGGTGGGATGCAATGGCGATGCCTTCTGGGCCTGGGTTTTATTTTGGGAGAAATTTTTAGTAACCAGTTTGGTCTCTTTGCTTGATATACATCTGTCCAGGTTTCCTGTTTCTTCTTGGGTGGGCTGTGTCTTTGTAGCGTTATTCAATTTGGGTGGGCTGTGTCTTTCTGGGGGTCAGTGATGTGGCTTTTGGTGTCCATCTATCCATGCCTTTCCCATCCTCCTTTGTGCTTCTGGGATATTCCTGCTCATTCCTGACTTATGATGACTATGGTTCTTAGGGGATGAAAGTTTTTCTTTGTGACAAGCCTCTCAAGGTGCAGAACTGTCTTTTTACAGTGGCATGCTGTGGGTGAGGAAGAGATGTCAGTTAGACCAGAGGGCATTCAGTGAGGAGCACGACTGTCAAAGAGGAGCTGCTGTGAAACATCCCCTGCACCTCCAGAATTGCTCTGTGGGGTACGAAGCTTTACTTCCCTTCTGCCTATGGCGGGCCTCTGCTCACACCCAGCCTCCCGGCCTTTCTGTGTGGGCCTTCTGCTCACACCCAGCCTCCCGGCCTTCCTGTGTGGGCCCTCTGCTCACACCCAGCCTCCTGGCCTTCCTGTGTGGGCCCTCTGCTCACACCCAGCCTTCTGGCCTTTCTGTGTGGGGCCTCTGCTCACACCCAGCCTCCCAGCCTTTTTCCTTACACTCCTGACAGTGACTGTCAGTGCTGGACTGTGGCTCACTGAGCAGGTGGCCCAAGCCTTCTGCCTCAAGAGCATCGGGCTGTCCCAGCCTTTTGCAGGGTTCACAGTACCACAGGGTGTCGTGGCTGTCAGCAGATTGCCATGGGCAGGTAAGGCAGAGGGCAAAGGAACACTTCTTTTTTTTTTTTTTTTTTTTTTTTTTTTTTTTTTTGGTCTTTTTAGACAGGGTCTCCCTGTAGCCCCAGCTGTCCTGGAACTCACTATGTACACCAGGCTGGCCTTGAACTCACAGAGATCCACCTGCCTCTGCCTCCCGAGTGCTCGGCTAGGAACACTTCTTTTGAAAAAATGGTTTTCTTTAAAAAGATAGGAGTAAGGTCTGATCTTCTCAAGTATCATCTGCATATGTCTGTGGTGCCTGTTCTTAGCCTTGCACCCTCCGCTTGTTGGCATTGAGCAGCTCCCTCCACCAGTGGCGACAGCGCCTCCCTGTGGCCCCAAGGCTTGGCCTTTGATCTTTTTTAAAAATTCATTTTATTTATTATTTACTTAATTTATGTATTTATTTATTTGGTCTTTTTGAGACATGGTCTCCCTGTAGCTCCAGCAGGCCTGGAACTCTGCCTCCTGAGGGCTGGGATTAAAGGCATGTGCCAGCACGCCTAGCTTATTTTAATTTTTTAAACATTTTTATTTTTTATGAGTGTATTGCCTGCATGTGTGTAAGTGCACCTATGTCATACAATGCCCACAGAGGTCGGAAGAAAGTGTCAGATTCCTTGGAACTAGAGTTATGGACGGTTGTTAGCCACCATGTGGGTGCTGGCATTTGAATCTGGGTCCTCTGCAAGAGCAGTCCCTGCTTTTTACCACTGAGCCATCTCTCCAGCCCCCCTCGGGCTTTGAGCTTGACTGCACTTATCTCATTGCTCAGGTGCCTGGAGAGGATGGCAGGCCATGTGCAGGAGGGAAGGCCAGGTGGGGTTGAGGAGCAGCAGAGAGTGGGCTGCTCAGGCCCATGAAGCAGGCCAGGCAGACAGCAGGCAGACATGGACACACCCTTTTCCCACAGGGCGGCTGCTCAGGCTGGAAGAGCAACTGACCCGACTTTGACTTCGAGTACAGGCCACCGATAGGGAGAACAAGCTAGTGGCCCTGGACACCGCCAAGCTCAACTATCTGGATCCCAGGATCAGTATTGCCTGGTGAGTAGGCCTGAGGTCCCTGTGCATGTGACTTGGAGGGTTCCAGGAGGCCCCAGTTCAGTCCCATCCTGTGCCCATCACTCTGGTAGGCACAACTTCTTCCTGTGACAGGGATCACCTGCCTGGATGTCCCTGATGCTGAGTCCTCTGTCTTGGTCCTCTTTTCTCTCAGCTTTGTGATGGCTGGGGCTGGTAGTGCCCTGGGGCACTAAGTCACAGGGGTGCTTGGACTGCCCACTGGGAGTGGGAGGTGGCCAGACACCTGAGCAATAGCAGGTGTGTCTTGATACCTGGAGAGGGGGTGCCATTGACTGGGGTGCCCAGGGCAGCAGGTCTGGAGAACACAGAAGTCTCTATCTTGTTGCTGTGTAGAGGCTGCTGTCCTCTTCCCACACCTTGGCCTTTAGGGCAGGATTTGGAACTGATGTGATTCCCTCACAGGTGTAAGGTTCGGGGTGCCTGTAGAGAAGATCTACACCCAGAGGTGTAGATCTAGACCCAGAGGGAGAGGTTTGCCAGGGCCTTTGACAGGGCAGGTGAAAACTTTGAATTCTGACTCCTGCTGGAAGTTTTTTTTTTTTTTTTTTAAATCTCACTATTCAGCAGTATTGGAGAGCTTTCTATAATAGAATGTTTGTGGCAAGTGTTTTTTTGTTGTGACCTAGAACAAAGGTCCTGATAGAGCCTGCAGTATGCATGTCCTGACCTCCCCATCAGCCGGTTCCAGCCCTCAGGCTGAGGCTCCTCAAGAGGAAAGAGCAGAAACTGGTGGAGTGGCTGAGGTCCCTGGGGAGTCGTCAGCACTTCTTTGAGCCCCCCACCCCCAGGGGTCTGAGCTCCACACACAGCCTTCCACACAAGGTTACGTATGCTCCTTGTCACAGTACCCAGTGGCTAGTTCTCAGTTCTACCTCACCCAGGCCCTCACACATGGTAAGCACAGTTTACAACTAAGCTGTCCCCTGGCCTCCTCCATAGCTTTCAGTTCATCCTTCCTCCTGCCTCAGTTCTCCTGCCTTGTACTCTTCCAGGTCTTGTCCTGCGTCTTGGGCTTCTGAGTCCTCTGTGGGCCTGGCCTTCCTTTCAGCACCCTGTTGGCTCGCTGTCCCTGCAGCTGTCTGCTCTTGGGCTTGAATGCCCTCCCTGGGGTCTGTACTTGTACTCCATAACTGCAGCTGAAGGCCTAGCCTCCCACTCATGACCCCTGGCTAGCCCAGAGGACCCCAGTACAGTGTGGTGGCTGTTGGTGGCCCTCCAGGTCCAGGATACTCTCACGATGGCTGAGGTTCTGCACCACTGCTGCAATTAGAGGACGGAGTAGACAGGATCTGCCTCCCCACAGTTGCTCTGGGCCTTGCTGACCCATACATGTGAACCTGCTGCTTCCATTACCCTCAGGGTCTTACTATGCTTGGATACACAGTAGGCCTGCAGAAAAGGAAACCACGGGTGGGCTGAGTGAAGGCTTCAGCTGAGGGGTGCAGTCCTGGGGAGGGAGCTAGATCCAGGCAAGTTTGACCTCACTGGAGGTGGACAAGACGGCCTTCCCTCCTACACAGTTAGAGAAATGGATTGACTTCAGGCTTGTGGACTAACGTGGAAACTCCACTGGAGTGTGGTCCCTATCCTTTAGGCCCAGTGGTTTGACCCAGCCGAGGACTGCTGGTGGGATGTGGCTGAGCAGGAGAGCTCAGGGCAGAGGACAGGGCCTTTTAGGCTCCTGGAGACCAAAGCTGTGTGCTCATGGTGTGGGGTGTTTTGAAGACAGAGCTGGAGTTTGTACTCCTTGGGAAATAATACCATTTAGTGTCTTGTCTCTCTCTAGTCAAGAATCTTCAAGTAGGTTCAGGGTGCAGACAAAATCAGGGTTTCTGGCTGTGGTGGCACACATCTTTAATCCCAGCACCTGAGAGGCAGAGGCAGGCTGATCTCTGTAAGTTCCAGGCCAGGTGGGGCTACAGGGACACCCAGTCTCAAAAAACAAAACTGGGCTGGGCTAGTGATGAAAAGCTCTGATTCTGGAATCAGGAGGCTGAGGCAGGGAGATTGGGACACAGGTCAAGACCAACCTGCGCAACACAGTGATAAGGGTTCTCAATCTCTGCAGTCTTGTTTTGGGGGAAGGGTCCCTGCCACTCAGGCTGGCCTCACACTTCTGAACTAACTGACCGTCTTGCCTCTGCTTCCTGAGTAGCTGGGGATACGTGTGTGACCACCAGAGCTGGTGCTTCTTTCTTTAGTGAAGTTCTTCACATTTTGTCTCCTGCACCGTTTCCTTCAAGTCACAGACAAGTCTGTGAGCCTGAGCCTTTAATGGCTGCGCCGGCTCTCCAGCCCACAGACGATTCTTTGTCTGATGGACTTGTTTGTCTATAGGAAGTGGTTTTCAAACCTCTGTGACTCTAGCTTTGCTGTCGACCGCTGAGTGGAGACATGGCTAGAAGCTGGGTGGGCACAGGTCCCCTCTGGTGTCCTTTTCCTTAGGGACACCTACAGTTCCTGAGACTCCACTGTCCTCCAGTGTGCTAGGCAACGGCACAGACACGAAGTCTTCCAGAGGCAGTTTATTCCTGTTAGTCCTTCTCCACACAGTGCTGGAGGTACCCCTGCAGCGTGGGGTCCCATTTGGGCACTGCCCTCCAGCCTGTAGGTACTTAGTGTCTTTAAACTTTTTTACTTGTTTTTTTGTTTTTGTAGGGGCTGGAGAGATTGCTCAGTGGTTAAGGGCACTGGCTGCTCTTGGAGAGGACCTGAGTTCAGTGCCCAACAGCCACATGGTGACTAACAACCGTCCTTAACTCCATTTCCAGGGGATCCCAAGTCCTCTTCTGACCTCTGAAGGGCACAGGTACACTTACATACATGAAGGCAAAACAATCACACACATGAAATTAGTGAAAATAAAATGGAAAGTGACAGGGGAGACACTGGACTTGTGGCATCCACACACGCCTATGTCACAAGCTTGGACTGAGCAATGGCTGTCCCAAGGCTAGTGTGCAAGGTAAAGGCTGATGTCCTCACTAGGCCAGGCAACGTGTAGAACCAAACAGGAGGGCCACCTGGATGTGCATGTCGTGGTGGTGGCCCAGGTCCACCAGGGCAAACCCGGGAGCGCAGAGCCTTGGGTCCTTGGTGGGCTTCGCCCTGCCCGCCCCCTAATTTCCAGGACGCTCTCGGCCATGCTCAGTGACCCTCTGTGGTTGTGGTGCTCTGGTGGGTCTAGATGGCAGGAGGCTGTGCACTGCTGCAGACCCAGTGTCGAGGTGCTGGAGGGACAGAGGGGTGGAGCCAAGACACCCTGGAGGTCGCAAGGAGGAACTTGGAAGGCTAGAGAGACAAGAGCCCATTTTAGGCATCAGGGATCTCTGCAGGTGGTTGGGAGGAAACAGGAGTCCAGCCAGAGTTGACCCAGGAGAGCCTGGCAGGCGCCTGACTTGGGATGTTGTTTGTGGTGAGAGAAACCAGGTATATTCCAGTCAGGAGGGTGGCTCTTGTCCTAAGCTGCAAATATATCCTCTGTGGATGGACTGGTGGGGACCCATCAGCCTTGACCCCCAGACTATGCTCGTCAGTAAGTCCCCAGTGAATTACACTCTGCAGGCCTGAATTTATCTGTCTCAGAGTTTTGTGGGAACTTTGTGGCCTTCTGGAAGTTGCCTCAGAAGACAGTTTCCGATGGCTACTCTAGAGCCTTTCTTTTCCTTTGGGGACAAATGTAGAATGGTGCAGGCAAACAAATGGTCACTTTCTGGTTCTGTAACTCACATGCACCCCTTTTCCTGGCCCTTCAAAGACTGTGACACACTCAACCCATCCTTCCTGGGCTGCAGTCATTCCATTAGTCTTTTCAGAGACCACAGGCAGTGTAAAACACTCAACACTTGTCACCCTCCAACCTGCACTGCATGGCACAAGTCTGTGCTCCCCGTCTTCCAGAGGCGCGTGTTGGACTGAGACAACCCCTGCTCTCAACCATTTCACAAATCTGGGCTCCTAGAGACTGCTGGTCCTTACCGAGACCCTGGTCCCTCTGAAGGAGAGGCTGAAGGCAAAGTCAACATAGGTCAGTGACGATGTGGACCAAGAGATGCTCTCTCGCTATGGACCCTCGGGTGGTGCTGCACCCAGGTGTGTGGACGCAGGCAGGGGCAGGTCATACTCATGTCCCCCAGGGCTCAGTGATGGCAAGGGCAGTGGATGCTGGGAAGTCCAGGTAGGCACAACAGGCCTGCTCTGCAAGTCACCAGTAGATCACTTCCTGGACTCCAGGATGTGTGAACAAGCTATCCTGCGATGAGCTGACGCCCCTGGGCAGAGGCAGGTCCCAGGGCCCACAGGACCTCACACTGCTCTCACACATTTCTGAGGGGAGGGGAAAGTGAGTGCCTGATGTCAGGTCTCACTCCTAGACTGGCTCTCATCTGATATTCTGATGCAGGGTGGGACTTTGACAGGGTCTTCCCGACGGGGCAGCATGGGGCCCTGAGCCCAGGCTGGAGCTCCAGATTAGATCTGTTTCAGCAGGGCCTGGTCATCTTAAGGTCTTCAGCTCTTCTCTGGAAGACTTGCTAGAGACTAACAAGGTACAAAGCAGGTCACCTGATTTGACAGGATTAGTGACCTTGTAAGGACCCACAGGGACCATGGGTGGCAGCCAGGGGCTCTGGACAAGTCCAATGGGACAGTCATTCTTGGAGTGCACAGCTTCAGAAGGGTCAAGGAGTTCCCCAGCTGTCCTGAAGGGGCTGGCCGGACAGGCTCCTCCCCCACCCCCATTAGTGCCAGCCTTCCTCTCCCAGGGCTGCTCACACGGCTGGACAGGGAGAGTGCCTGACAAGAGGCTCCTCACTGAAGCCTACCTGCCCGGCAGTCTCCTTTATGGAGCAGCAAGAAAGCCAACAGAGCTGGTGCTTGGTAGAGAACATTCTACATTTAGAAGCACCAGACACCTACGTGAGGGACTCCCAACGGCACAGCTCCACGCCCGGGATGGGTGGCAGACCCCTTGGCCTGCAGGAATACGGGAACCTCTGGGTTTCCATCCATGGTATTCGGGCTCTAGACAGATCTGGCCACTCCTTGGCAGGATCTGGACAGGTTAGAGTAGCTCTTGGCTTCAACTCCAGCCTCAGGGACTCTCTGGAAGCTTCCCCTGAGGCACCAGACGCAGAACCTATCCTGCTGTGCGTCCTGTAAAGCAGCCCTGCCTTGCTCAGCAGGAACAGGCGCTCGTTTGATCCAGAACTCTTTTGGGGTGTATGCTATTCGCGGACGTGCACCCTCTGGTGCTGGATGAGCTGGGAGCTCTGGCCAAAGGCTTTGGCACAGGTGCCGCAGGCGAAGGGCTTCTCGCCCGTGTGGGTCTGTAGGTGCCGGAAGAAGTGCGAGCGGCCTCGAAAGGCCTTGCCACAGTCGGCGCAGTCGTAGGGCTTCTCGCCCGTGTGGATCCGCTGGTGCTCGATGAGCACGGAGCTCCAGATGAAGGCCTTGCCGCACTGGCTGCAGGCATAGGGCTTCTCCCCTGTGTGCAGCCGCCGGTGGCGCACCAGGTTGGAGCTCTGGCTGAAGGCCTGGCCACACTCGCCGCACGCGTAGGGCTTCTCGCCACTGTGGGTCCGCACGTGCTGTGTGAAGTGCGAGCTGTGGCTGAAGGCGCGGCCACACTGGCCGCACTCGTAGGGCTTCTCGCCCGTGTGGATGCGGTGGTGCTGGATGAAGCCTGACCAGCCACGGAAACGTTTGCCGCACTCGTGGCAGGCGTAGGGCTTCTCCCCGGTGTGGATGCGCTGGTGCTTGAGCAGCAGGGACCTGTACTTGAAGCTCTGGCCGCAGGCCTCGCAGCGATGCGGCCTGGCGCCCCTGCAGCCTCGACCCAAGCCCCGGCCCAGCTCGGCAGCCCTCGTGGGGCCGCCCTCGGCCGCCGCGGCCCCTTGCGGCAGAAGCACCACGCACCAGGCATCTCTTCTCTGGGCGCCAGGCATGGTCCCCGGGGGCAGGCCTGTCAACGGCTCCAAGCTATGCTCCTGGCCAAAGCTGTCCCCACATTTGGGTATGCTGGGAAGATTCTTCAAGAGGCTCCTCAGTGCCCTTCCGTCTGAGGCCAGTCGGTCTCCAGGACTGCGGGGGCTGGGAGAGGCTGGAGTCCGCTCGGGTTCCCACTCGGAGTCTGAAGGAAGAAATGGCAGATGGCTCCCAGCCTCAGTCCCTACTGCAGCATTCTAGGAGCTGAGCCCAGGGCAGGCCTGACTGGGGACTCTGAGGGCGGGGCTGGGTAGTGGAGGGTGGGTGTGGGGAACAGCTGGGGCCTGTGCTGGGGCTTCACGGGTGGTTAGTGAGACCTGTAGTGCCCCCTCTTAGCTGGGAGGAGAAAGCTCTAGATTGTTGCTAAGGGCTAGAAAGGCCCTGGAACTCTGAGAGCTTGAGAAAGTGGTCCTGCAGGCTGAGGGGGGAGGGGGGTGGACACACAACACAACACAGGACACCACACGGACACTACACGACTGGTCTTAGCGCACAACCATCAAGTATCAAGACTAAGTGATGAGACCTAAGTGATGGCACCATAGCCAACCCCCTGCTCACCCAGCCTCTGGTGGCAGACAAAACTGGCAGCTGCCATCCAGCATAATCCCAGGCAGGATGGCTCAGGCCCTGGTCCTTAAGCAGATCCATGGAAAAGCTTGGTACTGTGTTTATTTGGGAGCTTCCAAGGCTCCCTGGAGCAGGATGAGGGCTGTTCACTCACCAGGCCAGGCATCTCCACAGACCTTCACTTCCTCTATGTCTTGGAGGTCCAGGTCTGCTGCTTGGGAAGGCACCTCAGGGCTGGAACAGGGGGAGCCTGGGAGCAGGAGACTAAGGCTCATGTCCTACCCTCTAGAGGGCAGTATCCCTGCCCCTTCCCTCCTCTCCAGACTTAAGAGTAGGATTCCAAGGCTCTGAGGCCAAGATCCTGACATACAGCAACCCCACCTGCCCAGCACCTCCCTATGATCAAGAACAGATCAATCCCATGTGCCACCGTGCTGGTATCCCCATCCAGAAAGCTTTCCCGAGGCCCTGGCTTTGGGAACTCATACCCTTTCAGCTCTGTAAGCATGGCCTGCTTTCCACCCATCACGGCTCACTGTACACAGCACTACATCTACCACAGGCCCCAGCCTCTGGGTTCCCAGAATTCCAGGACCAGCCATGCTCCTGATCTGTGTCTGCAGGGTCAGAGCAGTCCTAGAAGAAAGACTGTTTTGTCCCCAACAGTCCATCCTGGCCTCATGCTCTAAAAGGGTTGGCCACGCTGGGCTAGGCTGTGATCTGGAGCCTTTTCTGCAGGACCCTATCACAGGGATCCTCCTGCACCCTTGGGTTACACTTTTCCCTGTGTCCAGTGGTTCTGTAGGTTGCTGGAACCCATGTGTCCTAGATGGGCCTCCCGGGGAGCTCAAGGCTCTAAGAGGTCCTGGCTTGCCCCTAGCCGGCAGAGGAACTTGGGGTAGGTTTCAGAAACTTGGTATCTGTGGAATGAACCTCAAGTAGTGATACATGCTCCTAATCCCAGTGACTCAGGAGGCTAAGGCAGAAGGATCTCAAGTTCAAGGCCATCCTGGGCAACACTGATACCCTATCTCAACAAAACCAAAATCAAACTAAAAAAAGAGAACAGTGGGTGCTAGAGCATTCCTGAAGCAGAATGGCTGAGCTTGGTTCTGAGACATGGTCCAACCCTTGCTAGTGGCTGGGAAGCAGGCACAGAGATCGCCCATCACCTGTTGATCTGGACAAGGAGGCGATGGCCATTACCTCGTCTTCCTCCAGCTCCTCAGGGCCTTCCCAGGCTCCATCGCAACTTGGTAAAAGCAAGCACCACCAGCAGCCACAACACAGCCCAGAACCCATTTTGCTCTTTAATGTCCCCATGGTTCACACACTCACTAGGACCACAGCAGAGTGCTCTAAGAGCCTGTCCTGGTCTTCTTCTGGGGATAGGCAGAGGGGTCCTGAAGCTAGGCAGCAAAGAGGAAAGAGTTTGGGGCTCCTACCTGGCCTTGGGCTGACGCCTGTGATTTCCTAATGACGTGTGGGCCTTCTGTACTGAGTTTCTATTTGTAAATTGTGGCTGGGCTTTGACATCATTAGAGAGGGCTTGGCACAGAGCACAGATGTTCTTCACAAACCTCAGCTTCATTGCGCTAGCCATTAGAATGCCAGGCCCCCACCAAGAACTAGTTTCTGCATGGACCTGGTCCTCACTGGCCAGCTCATGAACAGGAAGGTATTCTACATGATTCAGGGACAAAGCCTGGCCTCTGAGACTGGGGGGTTGGGAGTGTCCAGTGGAGGCCAGGGTCCCCCCCCCTCTCCTTGTGCCTTGACCTTGCCAGGAAACTTCTCAGGGTGAAGTGAGGCTGGCAGCTCTGTCCCTACAGGTCATTAGGCTAGCACACCAGAATCAGGCAGGCAAGAACGCTGGCTCTCTTCCTGGCCTGGGACACTACCAGAGACGGACCGTCTCTGCTGACACTGGGCCCATTCTCTGGCCACTCTTCATTCTATGTTGAGGAAGGAACATGCCCGGAGGCTGTTTCCTAGGGAGTCAGAGCATGGCCCAACCATTGTGGACAGCCAACATTCTTTGAGCTCTGTCCAGAGCTTAGTGCTGAATGAGCTGCAGTAGCTGGCTGGAAGGCAGGTCAGACAGGGCTCACAGGGTGAGGTAGGGTGAGAGCAAGTACCGTGTGGGTGCCTGTGGAGGTGAAGCTGTGCTACATGGTGCTGGTCTTCGGGTGTCCTTGGTGATGAGAGGATGACGGGAGACAGGGCAGGAGTGGACGCCTCATGATCCCCTAAGCCTGCCATTTTTCAGAGATCTGCTCAAGGTGTGTGTACCAGGACCTGGGGAAATGAAAACCAAGGCAGACTAGGGGATTAGAGAAGGCTGTTAGGGAAGGAGCACCATCTGAGCAGTGCTGTGCAACACAGAGGCTGCTCTGCTGAGCAAGGTAAGGCTTCCAGGAAGGCAGTCCTGGGGCCCGTGGTAGGAGGGGCCTGCATGCTTACTCAGTGAGAAACCCTTATCAGACCTGGCAGCAGGACAGCAAGTCAAAGACTACCGCAAAGCCTTTTTCAGCAAAAGATCCTGAATGTTCTTCCCAACACAGTCTCCTGCACAGAGCAAAGCACGCCGATTCCTCTAGAAAACACTCTTGGACCACAGCTGGGGCTCTGGCTCTGAGTATGAAGGCACACCCAAGCTTGCTGAAGCTCTAAATCTTAAAGGCTTCTGAAAACCAGAGGGGATACACTTCCGGAGGGAGAGCTCTCTTCTCAGGCCCTGCAGAGCCTGAGGATGCAGCCTCAGTCCAGAGTTCCCACAGCACCACCCATTTGGAGGGCGGATGTCAAAAGCTCGTTTCCTAGCCGGGCGTGGTGGTGCACGCCTGGAGTCCCAGCACTCGGGAGGCAGAGGCAGGCGAATCTCTGTGAGTTCAAGGCCAGCCTGGTCTACATAGCAAGTTCCAGTACAGCTGGGGAGCTACAGGGAAACCCTGTCTCAAAAAGACCAAAAAAAAAAAAAAAAAAAAAAAAAAAAAAAAAACCATTTCCTATGTAGTTGATGGAATGGTCTTAGCGCGGGTGTGGCCTTGGTTCCACCGCCAGCACCGGAAAAACTGGGTGTGGTGGTGATGCCTGTCACCTCAGCACTCAGGGGGTGCAGGCAGATCAGAGGCCCAAGGTCATCCTTGGTTATTTGGTGCATGCGCCGTGGGCCCGAGCCACAGCAAACCCTGACCCGAGGAAAAAGGTGGGAAGCCGCTTTTCCCTAACTTGGTTTGCCAGGAACCGACTGAGCCCAGAGCGCCGGGTGGCGTGGGGAGAATCGACACAGGAAGCGCACCCGGGCAAGGGGCAGCAGCACCGGGGCGACCCGGACGTCACAGGCCCCGGGGGGCGCGGACCTGCGGCGGTTCCCCACTCCGGGAGGCCTGGGCTCCTACCCAAGTCGGGGCTGCTGCACCGAGCTGCTACCCACCCGGAGAGCCGCGCCCACTCACCTTGCGAGCCCGAGGCAGCCGCCCAAGTCCGGCCGGAAGTGCCCCGCCCCCTCTTCCGGGACGCTCTAGGCGCCGGAGGACCGCGCCTCGGTGGCCTGCGTGAGCTCGCTCAGGGCTGCTGCGCCGGAGTCTCGGAGGGTGGTCACTCGGATGTCTAGGCGGCTGTTGAACTGGCTCCACCCAGCGCCCAGACCCGGGGACGAAGCCATCATCTAGACGCCTGGCTGCAGCTGGATGCACTGCGTCTTGCAGACTTTGGGGCGTGTCCTTCTTGCAGCTGCAAGAATTGTAGCATGCGCACGGTTCTGGGCACCGGCGTCGCCGTCAGGACACGGGGAGCCGCGGTTGGCCGCAGGGCCTCACTTCCGAGACTCGGGTGGATTCTCAGCCCGGCTGGTTCTCAGGGCTGGAGGGAGAAGGGATCCGTGTGATCAGTCGGGGAGCGCCCCCCAACTTCCGGGGTGACGAAAGGCTTTGCCAGAGTCACTCATTTAATATCTCCGATATCGTTTCTGTACCAACTGCAAGCCTAGTCTACTGAGGCTCCTCTGGTGTGGCCAGCTGGTTTCTCTTAAGCTAGGGAGGAGTTTCCGTCTAGACAGCCTGGGGACCCCCGGTCTTCACACTCAGGTTTTGACCCAGAACTTCCAAGCCTGGTGCTTGGTTTTAATCTCTTTAGATTGGGGGTGGAAAAGGCCTCTGCTGGGTTCCTGTTAGAAATGAGGTGCTCAGCAGAGCGGTCCACAGTGCACCACTAGCATAGGTCGGCATCATCTCTAGTGCTCCGGTCTCATCCATGACCACAGAACCTTCGAAGCTTCCCCAGGCAGGAGGACTAGTCAACCTCACAATCCTTGAGTACAAGGTGGGAGGTGCTGAGAGCCCTTCCCAGGACACACTGGGAGGCAGGAGGGGACAGGGAGAGGAGGCACAGAGGGAGGAGGGGAATGGGAGGAGAGGAGGCCCAGAGGCCTGAGGTAAGAGTACTGAAAACAGGATGAGTGTGTGCAAAGGTCCTGAGGTGTGGGGAAGACTAACACCAATAATTGGGCCTGAGTGAGCAGGCAGGCTGGGATGTGGTAAACCAGGGGAGAAGGAACAAGCCAGGCAAGGGTTAGCCCCAACAGTCCTAAAGCCATTATCAGGAGCTTGGATTTCATTCTGTGTACTAGGAGCCACAGAGGTCTGACTAGGGGAGGGAGATTCCTTTTTTTTTTTTTTAATGCTGGGGATGGAACCTGGAACCCAGGGCCTCGGGTGTGCTAAGTAAGCACTCTACCACTTACTACACATCCAGCTTCCCCCACCTTTTTCTTTTTTTGGTCTTTTTGAGGCAGGGTCTCCCTGTAGCCCCAGCTGTCCTGGAACTCACTATGTAGACCAGGCTGGCCTTGAACTCACAGAGATCTGCCTCCCGAGTGCTGGGATTAAAGGCGTGCGCGCCACCACGCCCAGCCTCCCCAACCTTTTTTGAGATGGGACTTCAGCTTGCATTTCCAGTTTGTCCTGGCACTGAGGAGAGTGGATAAGGAGAAGGGCTCCTCTTGTTCTGCTGCTTCCAGATCTACTCAGGCCCTGGCTTCCTGGGTAACATTGTATCAGCACTCTGGGGGCTCGAAAACTCCTAGGGTGGAACTGACCTGTATGCTGTTGGGTTTGGAAGCACCAGATCCTCCAACTCAAATCACCAAGTGTCCCTGGCAGGATCACCCCTTGATGAGAACGACTGCCCTAAGTGGAGGATGACCCTGGTCCTTCTCAGGCCTCCCTTCCTCAGGGTCCTAACTACAGGCACTGAGCAACTAGCCAAACCCTAACTTGGTATCCCAGTATCTGAGGACATCTTGTTGCTACAGAGGGGTCCCTCTCATCGCACAACAGTGACTACTTTTTTCAAGTGCGGATTAGACTGTCATGAGCCTGGTTAACAGAAGCACCCCAAGAGGCAGTGAGTATTTGGGACCCTAGTCCTGCAGTTCACGGTCTCCTGTGGAAGAAGCTTGTAGCTTCCGTGGGGGAATCTTGAATGTGCCCCCAAATTGCAGAGCCCAACAGAGCACAGTAAACAGGCTGGAAATAGACATTTACTTCATGAGAAAACACCCGCAGCAGTAAGCAGGGTCTGGTCTCAAAACTGGTGGTAGCCAGAAGGCTGTGGAGACGAGCTGTGTGTCCACGGAATAGAGGGGACACGGAAGCAGACAGCGAAGTCACTTGTCTATCCCAATGCCCACAACACTGACGGCATTACACAAAGGTCACAGTTGAACGAATTTGGCAAGTTTGACTGTAAATACAAACAGTGGTAGGGAACACCAGACTGGGGACAGTATCTGCCACAGCATAAGAGGTTATGACTATGCTCTCAGAGAAGCATAGCCCAGGAGGGAGGATACACACATCCTACACAGCATGTACAGCATCAGGACAAGCCAGGACAATGGAAAGAGGCTCCAGCACCAGGACACCAGACCACTGATATGGCTGAGATGAAGTGTGGCCAGACTGGATACTGCTGGTTCAGAGGTGCCAGGGACCCTCTGGAGGCCCAGATGCAGGGCAACAGCTTCACCTGGGTGTCAGCTGGGAGTCACCATTACACACAAACATGAGTCCCAGAGGGTTTGGGTCAAGGAGAGGACACTCCACTTCTTGAGGAAGCAGCAGGAATGCAAACACGAAGGTTCCCAGAACACAGGGTTCTAGAAGGTGCAGGCTGATGCTGAGAGCCAATAGGTAAGTGGCACATAGGCATTCTTGTCTACACTGTACCTGGTATCTACCCCAGAAGCTACAGAGCCTCTGCCCTGTTGGGGCACCCTGCTGCTAGGGTTGTAGTCCTCCATGTCTGGATAGCTCTAAGGAGCTCGGCCTATATGGAAGGACTCTCCTTCTCAGCAGGGGGCCTCCTGCTCTCTGCCTGACTTACCTGGAAAGTGCCACCAAGCATGGATGCCTGACCTTATTTGGAACATGACCTTTGGCATAGTTACCTGGAGTAAAAACTACCCCCAGGTTTTTTCTATATGGTAATTAGGCATTGCCCGGTAGTCGGATGATAGGAGCCCACTGCCACATGTAAATAAAGCATACTATGAGCACCTATCAGCTGAGGCTTTGGCTGCTGTCTCCACACTATATTTTCCCTGACCCCCACTGAATAAACGAAGCTGTTTCACTGAGTCTGGAGCTGTTTGCATCACTGAACCTGCCTCCCCGAAGGGCTTTCTTCTGTCAGTGCTCACTGGCTGTCCTGACCCCGTTCGTCGCTTCTGCTCCCTTTGTCCTCATGGTCCGGTGGCCAACGAGCCACGAGGAAAGGGAGAGACCCCCACACTGCCCCTCATGCCAGGGCCTTTCTCTGTGGGGCCCCCATCCTGCCTTCCTCTGCAAGGCATCTTGGTGTCCCCGTTTACCAGCACAGGAAATGACTGTGTCTTGATGCCAAACCAGAAGGGATCCTGGGTGTGTTCTGGGCCCACAGCCCCCCAGGAACTGAAAGTGGAGCCCGCTAGAATCAAGTCTAAGGCCCTGGTCAGGCCCACTCTCCCTAAGAAGTAGAGTCCTGGGCCCAGGCTGGGGCTCACCTCTGCTTCTCCTTAGAGGCAGCTCTTGCCTTCCCACTCAGCCAGAAGGGCCCAGGGGTAGATGCTGGTGCAGCTCAGAGCTCCCATTTGCCCACTCCTTACAGGACTGTCAGATGCTGGCAGGGGCTCTGTGTTCTCACTGAGGCCCAGTAGGAGCTGTGCTGGTCACTACTTCCTGCAGGACACCCTCCATCAGATACTGCGGTTGAGGTGCTGCCAAGGTGAGCTGCATCATATTCCCAAGAGATTTCTGGCTCCAGTTGAACATGTTCCTGCAATTAGAACCCCAGTATTTGGCTCAGGGATCTCGGGTTACCCGAGCACACTTCTCAAGACCTCTCATGTGGTCATCTTAGCCCGAGGGTAGGAACAAGCGAAGTAGCCTGTAGTCCTGCAGTGTCCAAGAGGTACCCTGCACTCACTCACCCACCTGTAGCTTTCCTGTTCCTGCCTCCTGTGACGGCAGCCTCCCTGGGTGCGCAACTCCAGTGAGCTTCTGCTGTGCCTTCTGTGGTGGAAGTGGACGCCGACTCTCATCTTTGAGCTTCTTGCTGAGGTGACCTGCACTAGCCACCAGGAAAGAACCAGAAATGGTAAGAGCAAACGAGGAGAGCTTTGCTCATCTGCTTGGAGAGAGCAAACCAATGGGAATGTTAAGTGGAGGCTGGTCCTGCCTGCAACCTGAAGGACACCAAGGAATGTGGGGACAAATGGAGCTTCAGCTGTGGACCTGTCATCACTGCACATCACTGGAGCACAGAGAACAGTGTCAGCAGCAGGTCCAACCTCTATCCACCTCCAACTGGGGGCTATATCCCCCCCCGGCTCCTGCTAGGGGGAGCCTTCTGTTCCCTGGCATTACCCACATGTACCCCAGTGGTTTGAGCTGATGGTCAAGGTGCCTCCTGGCTTCTATGCTCTTTGGTGTGCAATCTGCCATGGCAATGCTCCTGTCTGCCACTTTCCCAGCCTGCTTCCTCCCCAGTGTTCCCATTCCGTGCACTGGCCAGCTCCAGCCTAGGGTCCTAGCAGGCTGTGGCTCCAGGGCACACCTGGGACGGCAGGGAACAAAACTTTCAACCTGCTGGAAAGATATGCAGTACTTCAACTGACAGATAGATGGGAGCTCTGCAGGTGCTTCTCCTGGAGAGGGAGTCCTGCACATCTCCAGAGTGCTCAGTCAGAAGCCGGTTCTCACAGATGGTGACAGACAGCAACTCTGTGTGCATGTGTGGCATTTCTGTTTTCTTCTATGGATGCCTGTGTCTTCTGTCCACCTTTGTACTTGGATATTGCCTTTTTAAAAAGATTGAGTTCTTTGTGCTACTGTGGTCAGGATGTGTAACCTGTGCAAGGACAAAGTGCTTCCATCCACCTGGCAGACACTCGCTTCTCCCTCACCTTGTCAAGGCCGGAGTGCCTTCCTTCCCTCCTGCCACCCGAGTCCTGCCTCAGGAAGGGTCAGGACAGGTGACTCCTGGGCCTTCAGGAGGCCAGGCCTGGAGGTGAGCTCTATCCCCTCTGCTCAATTCCACCCCTAGAAATACCCAGGGCCCTCAGAGTTGCTGGTAATGGGTCTAGAGACTTTATCCACAGGTTAAACCTGTAATTCCTTGACCCATAAGCACACTGCAAGCCGGCCCGGGGCTGTACTGACTTCTTCCCTCATCGCTGTGACAGGTCACAGTGCTGGCTTCCACAGACTGGTGCTCCGCTCGTTCTATCCTTTTATTCTGTCTGGGGCCCCAGTCCATGGGATAGTGCTGATCACATTTAGGGTGGGCTTTCCCACCTCTAACCCAATTGAGAAACTCCCTCACAGGGCTGGAGAGATGCTCTTCCAGAACATTACTTTCTAACATCTTAGAATCCTTTCCTACCCTGAAAACATGGAACCACTTCTGCATTTATTTCAAAGTTTTCCAGACATAACTCTCACAGTAAGTCCCTGGTCCATCTGAGATTTTTTTCATGTGGTTGAGGTGCAGACCCATCTTACCACCTCACGGTAACCAAGTCTTGTGGTCACCTACTGACCAGCCCTGCCCTGAGGGTGCTGTTTCCCCTGAGGTGTCCCCTTCCCCTTCCACCAGGCTGCAGGGCTGGAGGCAGGTTCTTCACCCTCCTGGCTTTTCCTCAAAGCGTCTTGTTAACTTGCTTATGAGCATTCTCGGCTGCCTCTCCTTGTCCCTCTCTCCCCCTCACACATTTTGGTGATATGGCGAATTTAACCCAGGGTCTCGTGCAAGTACTCTACCACATTTTTAGCTTAGTCTACCATAAAACACTGTCTGAAATTTAATTAAATTTGCATTGATTCTACATTAATTTGAATTTGGGTGAGATTGTCTTTTTAACTTCAGGACTGTCAATGATATATTTTCTTCATTTATGTAAGCACTTAATGTCTATAAAATGTTTTACTTAAAAGTTTTATTTATGGGGCTGGAGAGATGCTCAGTGGTTAAGAGCACTGGCTGCTCTTGCAGAAGACTCAGGTTTGGGTCCCAGCACCCACACGGCAGTTAACAACCTTCTGTGCTTCAGTTCTAAGGGAATCTGATGTTCTCTTCTGGCCTCCACAGGCATTACGTGCACTGGTAAACTTACATATATTCAGGTGAAACAGTGATAGAGCCTAGCATGTGATATGCAAGGCCCTGGGTTCAAACCTTAGTACTACAAAATAAAAGTCAGGGCGGAGAGATGGTTAGGTATATACTACCCTCAGAGGATCTGAGTTAGATTCCCAGCACAGCTCCAAAGTATCCAACCATCTCTACCAACCACCTCAGGCACCTACATTCACAGATACACACAAATACACATAATAAAACAAAGCGGTTTTAAAGTCTTGCTTTCTGCTAAAATAAATTGTACATACTTTTAAAATTTTTATTTTGGCTGGGTGTGGTGGCACACACCTTTAATCCCAGCACTTGGGAAGCAGAGGTAAGTGGATCTCTGAGTTCAAGGCCAGCCTGGTCTACATAGCAAGTTCTAGGCCAGCTGAGGCTACAGGGAGACCCTGTCTCAAAAAGACCAAAAATTTTTTATTATTTATTTTATGTGTTTGAGTGTATTCCCTGCATGCATGCAAGCGTACCTGGGTTGTACAATGCCTAAGACACGGGCGACTGAGCCCCTGGAACCGGCGTTAACACGGTGGCTAACTGGTTGAATACCACATGCATGCAATGTCTGGAGGCCAGAAGAGGGTATTGGATCTCCTGGAACTGGAGTTACAGACTACTGTGAGCCACCACGTGGGTGCTGGGAACTGAACCCAGGTCCTCTGCAAGAGTAGCCACTGCTCGGCTGGGTGCGGTGATGCACGCCTGTAGCCCCAGCACTTGGGAGGTGGAGGCAGGCAGATAGTTCAAGTCCAGCCTGGTCTACATAGTGAGTTCCAGGCCAGTTGGGGCTACAGGGAAACTCTGTTTCAAAAAAGACCAAAATAAATCAATCAATGAACCAATAAATAATTAAAAAAAAAAAGAGTAGCCACTGCTCTTAACCACTGAGCCATCTCTCCAGCCCCTTGCTAAATTTTTAATTGATTTTTTGTGTATTTCATACATAAAATCATTTTTATACCCCCCCATTGGAGTTCATACATTGTCATTTTGTTGGTTTTTAAAAAAATTTTATTTTATGTGTGTGCATGGATTGCCTGAGTGTAGGTGAGTGCCCCCGTGTTGTGCAATGTCCACGGAGCACAGAAGAGGCCATCGGATCCCCTGGAACTGGAGTTACGCACAGTTGTCAGCTGCCATGTGGGTGCTGGGATTCGAACCCAGGTCTTCTGCAAGAACAGCCAGTTCTTAACCACTGAGCCATCTCTCCAGCCCCACATTCTGTCATTTGTATTAAGGCCTATTATGTGTAAGTGTCCTGAGATATCCCTCAGTGCAAGTTCATCCACTGGGATCTAGGCAGCCCATCTAGAGTCTTTCCCTTCGAGATCAGCTCTTCCTCACTCAGCAGTAATCAGTGCCAATAATTCTTTGACTACGATTGGGGGTTGTTGTTCATTTCCACAGTTCTGTGTTGGGTTTTTGTCTGCCTAAGCTTGGGTCGTATGCATGCTGACCTTTGCTAAATTCTTAATTTCCTTCCATAGCGTGTGATCATTTTCAGATGCTTTGTAAACAATAATTGTCTGCTAGTCCTGACTATCAGGGTTTTAGCTCCAATCTTACAGTTTCTGTCTCACCACACTGGCTGTAACCTCCAGGACAGCACTGAACTCAGTGACAAGACTGGGTATATTTTTGGTTTATAGAGGTGTACAAAAGTTTTGCCATTTAGTAGATATTATTAGGCTAATAAAACTCTAATATGCTCTATTTATGAAGAGACACTAATTAATAATGGACACTGGTCAGGTATGTTGGCTCAGGCCTATAATCTCAGTACTCAGCAGGCTGAAACAAGGAGACATTAAGTTGGAGGGCAGCCTGAGCTACAGGACAAGTTAGCCAGCCCGGGCTATTGCCAAGACCCTACCTTAAAAAAAGAAAAAAAGGCCTGGTGTGGTAGCGCACACCTTTAATCCCAGCACTCAGGAGGCAGAGGCAGGAGGATCTCTGTGAGTTCAAGGCCAGCCTGGTCTACATAGCGAGTTCTGGGTCAGCAGGGGCTACAGGGAGACCCTGTCTCAAAAAGACAAAAAAATTTATTTTGAGTGTATTCCCTGCATGCATGCAAGCGCACCTGGGTTGTACAATGCCTAAGTAAATCAGAAGCGGGTGACTGAGCCCCTGGAGCTGGCGTTAACACGGTGGCTAACTGGTTGAATACCACATGCATGCAGTGTCTGGAGGCCAGAAGAGGGTATTGGATTCCCTGGAACTGGAGTTACACAGTTGTGAGCCATCATGTGGGTGCTGGAACCCCACTGGAGTTCATACATTCTGTCATTTGTATTAAGGCCTAGCTCTGCCAGCAGTTCCTTAGACTTCTGTGTGGACCTGGTACCCTTCTGGAAGACCACACACCATCAATCCATCTCCTCCACGGTCTCATGGGCCTCTAGTTTTCTAAGGTGGTTTGAGGAATTATTTTTCTACTGATAAATCAGGCTACTGGAGCTCACTATGTAGACCAGGCTGGCTGCCTCTGCCTGTCCCACCTCACCACCCCTGCCTCTGTGTGTTTTTATCCCTCTCCTTTGCTGATGTGCCTGGAATTCTCCTGTTCCTCTTCTCCATCACTCTGCCTGACAGGGTCCACCTTCTCAGCCTTTCAGAGCTGTTCCAGACCCTACATCCTCTTAGCAATGTCTCCTCCCTACCCCAAGTCCACCTTTACACCGCTTGGAGCCAGACACTGGGCTCACTGGTGCTTGGCTATGGCACCCCACCCAGCACTGTAACAGAGCACCAGGTGTGTCTGCTTCTCCCAGTCAGCAGCGCCAGCACAAAGTCCTTTCCCTGTGCTCCGTCTTTGGTTAGATAGCGTTTCTCTTTCCTGCAATGTGGGTTTAATTTAAACTGCAAAACACCAAAGAAGAGCCTCAACAATCCAGCTGAATGCTGGATGTGATGGTATGCCATCACAGTGGTGACCAGAGGAAACTGGATATGAACCCACCTATCTGCTCCAAAACGATGGGGCAGAGGAGGTGGCAGGCTGATTCCAGTTCGGGTGTGTGAGTTTTCTTATAACTATGAATCACATTAAAAAATTTTCCAAGTACATTAAAAAATGTACCTTTCTTTTGCTGTTTTCCATGCTGAATTCAGCTCCTGTTTTCTTCCTAGAAGTGTCCAGGGCTGTTGGCTCACGGGATACCCTCCATGTGTGCGAATGGGTATTTGGTCTCATTGAGGAGGCTGGCCCATAGGAAAGCATGAGTCACACCTACCCGGACTGTCACACATCAAATCACCAAATTTTTGGAGACTCTGGAGTACTTACCATCCCCAGTGTGTGTGAGGAAACTGAGGCCTGGGGTGGTTCAGGGATGCTCCCAAAGCCCCATGACTGCAGAGTTGGGCCAGGGGGTGATTTCAGCTGAAGGGCCTATGCTACTCACCACACATCTCCCAGAATCAGGGCACTGGCTTAAACCATGTTTGCCCTTTGCCAAGAACCCAGGACCACAAAGACAAAACGGACCAAGAACCCACCTGCCTGCTGGAGGGATGGTGTGACTCCACCATCCAGGTGCCACTGCAGGAGTCTTCAGGCCCAACCTGGGGGCCCGCATGGCATTCTGTGTCTGGACCCTGTCCAGTGCATCCTAAATATGGAAAAGACATGACAGGATTTAAACCTAAACCAGAAAGGTCCATGTGGCCAGGCTGGGTGAAAAGAGCTGGCTCTGGCTATGCTAGTCAACAGCTCATGATGCACCCGCTAAAAGTGTCTTCACACTGGTGACAGCAAAAGTTATAGCACTACAGAAATAAATCAACACAGGCACCCCTGGGAGAGGGGGCAATTGTTCTAGGTGGTCATGGCTTCAGTGTCCTCTGTCATCTAGAAAGAACATTAGACTACAGAAGCACTGCTCAGCTCCCTGCACCTCTGGCTCCAGTCCAGTTCCTGCATCTAGGGCTCCATTTCCTCAGCCAGCTTCTCCTGACCAACATCTAACTCTTTGTGGTTCAAACACTCACATTCTTCATCAAGAACAGAGGTCAGGCCAGGCGTGGTGGCACATGCAGAGGTAGGCGGATCTCTGTGAGTTCAAGGCCAGCCTGGTCTACATAGTGAGTTCCAGGACAGCTGGGGCTACCGGGAGACCCTGTCTCAAAAAGACCAAAAAAAAAACAGAGGTCAGAAGCCAGGTGCAGTGGTACATGCCTATAAATCCCGTACCCTACGCCTCCTGGGCGTGCACCCCTGCACCTGGACAGCTTTAGTTGTCAACCTGACACACCTGGATAGAGGGCGTGGTGGCACATGCCTTTAATCTTAGCACTCGGGAGGCAGAGGTAGGCGGATCTCTGTGAGTTCAAGGCCAGCCTGGTCTACATAGTGAGTTCCAGGACAGCTGGGGCTACCGGGAGACCCTGTCTCAAAAAGACCAAAAAAAAAAACAGAGGTCAGAAGCCAGGTGCAGTGGTACATGCCTATAAATCCCGTACCCTACGCCTCCTGGGCGTGCACCCCTGCACCTGGACAGCTTTAGTTGTCAACCTGACACACCTGGATAGATGGCGCCTCAGGGAATTCACTCCATTGGGCTGGCTTGTGGTCATGTCTGTGGGGCAGCTTCTTGATTGTTGAATGATATGGGAGGGCCCAGCCACCCCTGGGCAGGTGGTCCTATGTGGTATAAGGCAAGTTGCACACTGGCCAGGGGAGCAAGCCAGTAGGCAGTGTTCCTCCATGGCCTGTGTTTCAGCTCCTGCCTCCAGGTTCCTGCCCTGAGTTCCTACCTTGGGCTCTCTCCATGAGGAACTGTGACCTGGGAGATGTAAGATAAAATAAACCCTTCCTTCCCCAAGTTGGTATTGGTCAGAGTTTTGTCACAGCAATTGAAAACAAAGACAATTGAGGCAGGAGGATGACTGTGAGTTCAAGACCAGTCTGGGCTACACAGTTCTGTCAGCCTGAGCTACACACCAAGACCTGCCTCAAAGTACAAAAACAAACCCAAGGAGCACCCACACACCTATTTTAGCCAGGTGTGATGGTTCACACCTGTGATCCCAGCATTCAAGTGGCTACAGCAGGAAGACTGAGTTGGAGGCCAGTCTGGATTCACAGTGGGATCCAGGCCAACCTGGGCTAGAGTGAGACTCTGTCTCAATAAAACAAAACAAAATGGGCTGGCAATGCATGACAGCACACAGCCACACCCATTCATTGCACATCACCACTAAGTGCTGTGGCACTGTGTGGATGAGGTGACAGGCTGACGGACTGGCCCTTCACATAAAACATTCACCAACTGGACATGGGTTCCTGGGAGACTGACACTGGGTCATTCTGCCTTGTGGTGTCCCAGTGTAAACAAATGCCATCATTGGTTTTCATCAGTATTTGGAAGTAAATTCAGGTATCATGACTCTGCACCATGAAGCCTTGGTATGCATCTTTAAGGCCATCGGTTATAGGCTGGGAGCAGGACACTGTCCTGCCTGGTAACACTCCAGGTTTCCAATGTCCCAGCAGTGTAGCTGACTCCTTCAATCCAGGACACATTGAGTATGCTATGCACACGCCTCCTAGACCAGCTGACACCTGCTTTCCCACAATTTCACCTAACTAGATCTTCATGCATGAGATTAAGCAGGTCTCTCCTGAGGGGATCCAGCCTGGGCAGGACACTCCTAGGAATACCTGCATGAGATTCTGGTGTGGGACGACCTCTTCTTGAAACCTTCTGCCCTTTAGTGAGGGGCCGAAGTCTCTGCCCACCTGCAACCTGGCCTTGCACTTCCTGACACTGCAGCAGACCTGACTGGGCCACTGCCAGGAGGCCCTGACTCTAGGAGGCCCCGGAGACACATGGGCCACTTGTTTCAACTTTTAGAGAGATGGTGAAACTGTTAACCTGGTTTATTAATTATTTTCTCATTGCTGTGACAAAAGCAACTGGAAGAAAGGTTTATGTGGCTCACACTTTGAGGGCTTCCTTATCGTGGCGGCAAAGGCAGAGTGAAGAGTGTGTGAGGTGGCTGGTCCCAGTGTCTGCAGTTGGAAAGTACAGAGATGAACGCTCAGCCTCTTCCTTTCTATAAACAATTTTTATTTACTTTTTCTGGTGTATGTGTGTGTGAGGGAGGTGTCTGTGCCACTGTGTGCATGCGGAAGTCAGAAGACAACTGAGAGGTCAGTTCTCTCCTGCCACCTTTATGTGGGTTCAGGGGATCAAACTCTGGTTGCCAGGTTTGTGCGAGGAATACCCTAACCGGCAGGGCCATCTTGCCAGCCCAGCTTTCTCCTTTTTATTCAATCTAGGACCCAAACCCATGGGATGGTCCTGACGACATTCAGAGTGGGTCTTCCCTCTGCAGCACCTCCACGGACACACCTCTGGGTGTGTTCCTAGGTCACTTTATGTCCAGTCAGGCTGACCATGAAGGTTAACTGTCATATGGGGTAAAACATTCCCATAGGGGAGCCCAGGGCTCTGGATCATTTGGCGTGGCACCCCTCTCATGGTTTCTGCACCTGATTGACAAGAACATCTCTGGCTCTGGCTCTGGCCACTTCTTTTAGGGCAGAGTCTCCAAAGACTAAGGCCATTATTAGTTTCTTATGTACAAATCTTTGTACCAACTGTTAGGGAAAGAGGAATTTACTGCTTGGTTGAACTTACTGCTTGTAACTGATTAACTCAACTGGAGACACAGGCATCCGGAGATAGGGGCAAGTGCTGCAGCCCCCGGAGCCTGACCTGTGTGATCTGTGTCGTGTCATGCAGGCATGTCTGCTTACACAGATAACAGGGAAGGGTTGTGCCAGGCACATACCACCCACCCTTCCCCAATTGGGACATCTGAAGGGAGCTGTAACATTTTTCTTGTTTTGAAGTTATTGGTTTGTGAAATTCTTGCTTTGAAACTATTGGTTGTATAAGCGCAGGTTTTTGTGTAACGGTTGTGGGAGCCTATATAATCTCTACCTGAAGTTGCCTCCGGGTCAATTGCTCCAACCAGACCTGCATGTCTTGGAAGGACGGTCGGCCCCAGCTAGCTGGCCTAATAAAACTCTGCTTGACTTTTGCATCTCCATACTCGTGCATTTGTTCTCCTGAAGAGACCCACCGAGTCACGAACCCTAACACAACTTCCCCCCAGTACCCCAACTGTATTACCTCCTGGTCAGTGGTCACTCTGTCATCCCTAGAGCAGATCTCACAGAGCACTTTGGGACAGAGGGCAAACATGGCCATGTGGACTTGCCTCTGGTGACAGGCGGGAAAGTGGACCTGCTGGTTGAGTGAGGCAGGGCTGCAGTTGTCTGAATGTGCCATGGACAGAAGCTGCTGATGGCAGGCACCCTGGGGCCACAAGGTCTGCATAGGAATCTGCCTGTGGGTGGGCACAATGGCCTGATGAGATCACTTCCTATGGGTCCAGGCTGCTGGTCCAGGATGGTGGCTGGGACATGGGAATACAGTAGTGCATTCCAGGTCCAGTTCCAGGCACAGGGCTGAGCTTAGGGATGCTGGATTAGCCAGAGGGCAATTTCAAGATGGTTGCTAAAGCCAGCTGCCAAGGGATGAGCAGAACCTGGTGTTGTCCAGTGGGGACCGGAATGCTGCCATCCAGCTCAGGGCCCCAGAGGGCTACAACCACACCCTGAAGCCTTCAAAAATGCTGACAGAATTACCAAAGCAGAGGATGGCACAGGCTGAGGCAGTAAGGGAGGCATGTATGCTCGGTGGCTCCAAGTTGTCACACAAATGGCAGCTAACACACCTATGAGCCCTGAGAAGCCTTCATGCCATCACTTGGTGCAGACACACTGGGGCAGACAGGCTCTGTGGGCTCCCACAACTGATGGGGGACCCTCCCCAAGGTGACAGACAGGCAGCCACTGCACAGGAATCTCAGACCTCCATCCCACGCTCACCCAGGGCCCACATCTGAAGGCCTCCTGCTCAGTGCTTCTTCCTCGGATGATGCTTCCGATGTCGGATGAGGCAGGAGCTGTAGGTGAAGGCTTTCCCACACTCCTCACACCTATAAGGCTTCTCTCCAGTGTGTGTTTTCTGGTGTTTCAGAAGGTTGGAGCCACAGTTAAAGGCCTTCCCACACTGGTCACACTTAAAGGGCTTCTCACCAGTGTGAATTCTCTGGTGTTTGGTGACATCTGAGCTGTGCCGGAAAGTCTTCCCGCACTGGTCACACTTAAAGGGCTTCTCTCCTGTGTGAACTCTCTGATGGCGAATGTGATCCGTCTTGTGTTTGAAGATTCGTCCACATTCACTGCACTCATAAGGCTTCTTCTTTTGAAAAGGAACAAACACGGGGACACCCTCAAAGTCGTCTTTAAACGAAGCATCAAAGGCATCAAAGAGATGTGCCTCATCTTCAGGGCTCAGGTTGGTCTCCTTTCGGGGCTTCCGGCCCCCAGCTCGGGGCTTCCGGCCCCCAGCTCGGGGCTTCTGAGTCCCCACTTGGGGCTTCCGAGTCCCTGCAGGCTTCTTGGGCTTTTTCCCACCTGATGCTGTCTCTCCCTTGAGAGGGGCCTTTTGCACAGTTGTCTCCTTTGGGGAGTGGGTCTCATTTTCCACTGCTGCAGGCCTCTCCATTACCATCTCCATTACCACAGGGGTCTCCATGGCCGCAGGGGTCTCCATTACCGTCTCCCCTGCTGCAGGCAGCTCTGTTGCCGCAGGGGTCTCTATCGCTGCAGGGGTCTCCGTTACCGTCTCCACTGCTGCAGGCAGCTCTGTTGCCGCAGGGGTCTCCATCGCAGAAGGGGTCTCCATTACTGGCTCCATCTCCATTACCACAGGCGTCTCCATTACCACAGGCAGCTCCAATACTACAGGCAGCTCCATTGCTTCAGGCAGCTGCATTACTATAGGCGTCTCCACTGCCGCGGGCAGCTCCACTACCACAGGCGGCTCCACTACCACAGGCGGCTCCACTACCACAGGCGGCTCCACTACCACAGGAAGCTCCACTACCACAGGAAGCTCCATTGCTACAGGGAGCTCCACTGCTGTTCCTAAGAAGCAGGAATCACCCAGGAAGCCAGGGAAGGCTGAGGACTCCCAGTCAGGGGTTACCTGGCTTCTCTCCATCATTCCATCGGGGACAGATCACCACATCCTGTGTGCAGCTGCTTCTCAGCACGAGGCAGACAGAGCCATTATCGTCTTCCTCTGGAGAGGAAAAAGTATTAACACAGATCAAAGGCCCCTTTCAGGACTGCAGCACCTCCACCGTCTTTCCAGCTGCACATCTGATGAGCACCTCAGACAAACTGGGTTCCCCAGAGCTGCACCCAGCCTTGCCCTTTCCCAGCATGCTCACCACACAGCCAAAGGACAGGAAGTACTCCTTGGCCACAGGACAAGGCTTTCATGTGTCCCAGAGCTCCATGTCTACCAACGGCCATTTGGTGTGGCTCTTGCTTTTCCACCTCCCCAAATGGAACTGTCCCCTGTCCTTTCTCACTCCTCTGTATCTGCCCACACCAGGATCATGCATGGACTTGGGAGCTATGGACTGCAGGAAGCAACCCCGTCACCCACAGCCTTATTCTGAGCTGGAAAAATCTGGGGCTGTCCTCATGATCCCCAGGAGGCAGTCAATCCCATCACATGCCCAGAGGCTCTCCATGTTGATGAGGCCTCTACAGTCCTGGTCCCTCCCTACCTTCCCCCCTTCAACTCTACCAGCTTTACATCCTCCAAAGCTACACCACCTCTCTTACCTCTTGAGGCCTGAGTGTGTGTGTGTGTGTGTGTGTGCGTGTGTTGCTCTGCCGACAGCCCCTTCTATAGCCCCGCTTTCCAAAAACATAACTGTCCCTTAGGGAGCACACTGCCTGTTCTAAGCATTAGACAAATACCTACATATCTAGCCTTCATCCCACAAGTAGCTTGGGCGTGAAAGCCTGGCCCTGCTCCAGTCAGCTTCTCCACTGCCTTCCTGCCCCAGCAGATGAGGGTCTGACCTGGATTCAGGGTTGAAGCCTAGGTGCCTATCAGCCAGGCCTCCGCTCATGTTGTCTGAACATCAGTACTTGAGTGTCTGTCTCTCGTAGGACTGGAGAAGAGACACATGAGAGTTCCTATCTGACAACATCTCAAGCTCAGCACCAAGTCAAGTGCAATAACACTGGTGACAGGAACGATAAGCAGGCCCAGGTGACTGAAGAAGCAGCCCTGCAGCCTGTTTCACATTAAGAATTTTGCTTTCAGGGCTGGGGAATCAGTAGTAGGGCACTGGTCTATGCTCAGGGCCAAGGTCCAAGCCCCAGCACTGTTACAAAGAAGAAAAATTCCTCTTTTTTTAAAAAAGGTGGTTTTTATTTTTTGAGACAGGGTCTCTCTGTAGCCCCAGCTGGCCTGGACTTGCTCTGTAGATCAGGCTGGCCTTGAACTCAGAGATCCACCTGGCTCTGCCTCTGGAGTGCTGGAACGAAAGGGATGTGCCACCACGCCCGGCTTTTTTTTTTTTAATTATTTTTGATGTGTATTATTTGTATGTAAGTGCACCCATGTCATGCAATGCCCACAGAGGTCAGAACAGGGCGTCAGATCCTCTAATCTGGAATTACAGAGGGTTCTGAGTGCTGGGCACCAAACCGGGGTTCTCTGTGAGAGCAGCTGGGGCTCCCCACGGCTGAGCCAGCTCTCCCACCCCAACTTCTCTTCTGTAGCGCTCCTATACTGCCTCCAGCGTCCTCAGTTACCGCCTGACAGCTTCCAGCACAAAACCTTGAAAGAGCTCCATGCAGAAGGAAAGCCCACCAGAGGATGAGCAGTCCTCTTGTCCTTGAACTTGGATTGCACAGATCCAGTCTGGCATTCTGAGCACGAACTTCACATCCTGCAACAGTTTCTCTTGCCCACTAGAAGGCCCAGGATTCTGACAGCTCTTATCCCAAAATATGGTGCTCTAAGTAACAATATTCCAACTTCCTTATATTAGTTTTTGGTCAACCAGGCTGAAGCTTTATGCTGGGGTCCAGTCTGATCAAGAAATGGAAGTGAGGGGCTGGAGAGATGGCTTAGCAGTTAAGGGCATTGGCTGCTCTAACGGAGGACACAGGTTTAATTCCCAGCACCCACATGGCAGCTAACAACCATCTGTAACTCCAGTTCCAGGGGATCAGACACCCTCTTCTGAACTCTGTCTGCAGGCAGTGTAGAACACAGATGTACTTACATGCATGCAGGTGATACACTCATACACATAAAGTAAAAAAAAAGAAACGGGAGGTGAAACTTGTGCTAAGTGACATCACTAACAAACACAATTCCCTAGGCAGAGGCAACCCTGGGCCTTCCCTCTTCTCTCCTGAATGGAGACAGAGATGGGTTGGGGTGGGGAGGGCACATACATGTGTCATTGGCCTGTTTGTTCTGTTCACTTTCTAACCCAGGAGGTACACGGAGGACTGTAAAGCTGAACCCAGCAGACATTAGCCAGCCCCAGTGGTCCTGGACAGGCCTGAGTTGTGATGTTCAGAAAGATGATGGAGAAGTGGAAGGGCACAGGCCTCACAAATTTCAGGACTATGACCACCACCAGACCAGGGTAACAAGGTTGAGCTTGAGATGGCTGCTTCCCTCTACAGAAAAGCTCCAGAGGAGGTGGCAGGCAACACTTTAGGGTGTTAAGTCACTGCCTTCTTCAGCAAATCACAATTTAAATATTCAGTACCTGCCTCTGCTCATTGATATTTATATTCTGGTTGCAAAATGACTACAGCTCACTGTCTCACAGGACTCAGTCTGGCCTTTCCTACACAAAAACCTCTAGATTAGCGAGATTTGCATTCAGGCCAGCATCCCTTTCCTACCCTTTACCTACCCGGAGGACCTCCAGGAGGTAGAGTTCTAGCATCATTTGGGAGCTAGGACTCAAAGTGAAGAAAGAGGAGCGTCAGGATGCTGTACCACCTAGGGCAGGGACTCAGCCCCAGGCAACTCACAGGCCCAGACTGAGTTCAGAGAAGACGCCTGCAGGAGTGTGCCCTTCCGCCTCAGGGTGGGGGCCAAGCTCTGCAGGACAAGGTGTGCGGACACTCCCCAGGATGGGGAGCCCACAGCACCGTTTCCCCTTTCACACCACCTGTGGCTTTGTCAAGGAGACACTAGCACGGCTACGAGGTGGGTGTTCTGAGAGCCGGCCTACGTCCTTTTAGCCCCGGACGCCTGTCTCACATCTGCTCAGGAAACACCTCATTATGGCCGTGTTACCCCACCTGCACTGGCGGGAAACTGAGGCTCTAGGTTTGCTCACAGATCAAACTGAAAATTAAATAATCATTAAACACAGTAGAGCATAGGCCTCTCCGCCGGTGCACCCGAGCGGGTGCTGGCGGCACAGGCAACTTAGCTAGGGTGGCCTAACGGACGGGGCTCGTGCCCACTGGGCAACATCAGGAGCACGGAGCCCCGGACGTCAGCGCATCAGCACCACATCCCGACCCACCCGTCCCCGCCTCCGGGAGCCTGGACACCATGGGCGCGTCACGGACCCCGAGAAACGGCCCCGGAGGTGGTCCCCAGAGCCCCGAGCGCGCGCAACGGGTACCTGGGTGACGGCTCAGCTCAGAACCCGGCGGAACTCTGGCGGGGGCGGGATCCAGCGCCCGCCCAGGCCGCCACTCGCCCTCACCTGCACCACGAGGGGCCCACAGGACCTCCGCCCCCTTCCAAAGCTGCTCTACGTCCCCCGGCCTCTCGGTGGTGCTGCGTCGCACTCCTTAGTGTCGCGCGCGCCTTCCCGCCACTTGCGGTACCGCTCTAGGAGCCGGTCCCGCCCTCTCTATGGTACCGTGTAGAGCGACGGCTCCGTAGCCCCGCCCACCTCTCCTAGCCCCTTCCGTGGCCGCTCTAGGCGACGTGGCCGCCGTCTCGGTGGTGCTGCGGTACCCGCCCAGGGCCGGATCCGCAAGGTGTTGTCTGCGGCTGTTCCGGTTCCCGGGCGGCTGGTGGCGCGTCTCTCCCTGCGTTTACGCGCAGCGATCCGCCGGCTGCGGTCCTTGGTAGTTCCTAGTCGTCGTGTTTGTCATCTGTGCGGCCCGTCAGCTCAGGGGCCCGCGGATCGCGGTGCTGCAGGCCCATCCGAATTCAGTCCTCCCCCTCCTTCCTGGCCTTTACTTACAGATACTACAAATCTGTCCTGTGTTCTAGCACTTTCCTATGCTATTCTGACTTTCATTGTCCATAACTGAGCTGAGTTCGTTCATATCCCCCCCCCCCCCAGTCTGTACATATCGCCCTTTGGGGAGTGCAAGGATTATAGTTGTGCAACCTCGCGCTGGGCTTCATTAGAATTTCCAACGAGATCACTGTGATTCCAACTAGTTGTAAGAAACAGTGATGGAGCTCGGTAGTACGCTGGGCTGAGTTTTCCAGAGAATGCCATTTTGCTTGACTAGTGTCCAGCCTTAGAGCCTCATATTAAAATGGAAATAGAAGAGCACACCAGATGCTAAAAGCTTTCTCAATGTGATGGTAATTAAAGAACTTTGAAGCAGGAAATCTTTTCCTCCGCCCACACGCCCTGCGGTACCTACTCCCCCCCCCCCCATAGAAATCATTGTTTCCCAAATCCACCTCATTCCGGTACACCTTCTGGCCTTGTGTTACCAGTAAACCACTTATGTATTATTTGCCCTTGGGGTGCATTCCTCACATGACTATAAAAGCCCCCCTAACCGTGAATGAGGAATGATCTCTGGATCAGTCTCACTGATGAAATTAAACTCCTTCTCACCTGCCTTAGGCTGTTGGTCTCTGTTCCCCCCACCCCCTGCTTCTACTAGACTCAACACACTAATGAAGTCCAACCCCGGAGGTTGCCTTTTGCCACTCAGCGTCACTGTATGGATCCACAAGGGTATCTGTCTGTGTGTCTCCGTGGCTCATTCCTTCTTATGGCTGAGCTGCCTGCACAGTTTGTGCACCACAGCTCGTTTGACCCTTTACCCCCTGAAGGGCATCCATGTCACAAATAAGGTTGCTTCCAAGACCCTCAGCGCAAGCTCACTTTCCCCGGATCACACTCAGTGCGGTCTCTAGGTAGAATAAGATCAGCCAGGTCGCTTTCAGAGAGGTTGTACCACTTCCTCCCACCAGCACTGTACAGCGACTGGTTTCCTGCTTCACCAGCTTTTGGTGTAGGCACCATGGTGGGGAGAAGGGCACCTCCTTGTTTACATTTCCCAGAGGTCTTGTAGTTCCTGGGCTTGTTGCAGTCTGCATAGTCTGCACTGGCAGGTCTCCTGCCCATCTTCTTAGGGGGTGGGTTGATCTGGATGTGAGTGGGCTGATGCAGTCCTTTGTCCCTGTGGTCCTCAGGTGGTCTCCCACTCGGGCATTCTTCCATCCCTCTCACTGGGTCATTTCTGGAGCAGTTTGTTTTGGAGTGCCTGCCCTCAGTAGATTGTAACCTTCTGTTGGTGGACACCCCTCCACCCCGCACCCTGCCATGACCTCGGCTTTTCTGACACTATCCAAGCTTTCTCTAAGAAGACAGTGAGCTGTCTGCTGTTGAGAAACCCTGGTGTCTGAAAACTGCCTTTGAACGAGCTGCACACATGCCCTTTGGTGGGCAGAAGCATTAGATGGTCCCAATCCAAGGTCAGCCTGAGGAGGCATCATCTTCAGTGACATGGAACTGGGATCTCTGTGTTCTGGAGAGGTCCTGATAGAGGCCATCCGCGTGAAGGACCTGTATGCAGAAGATGGAGTGGCTTTGTAACCCCTGGGGGCAATGGCTTGTCCTTGTGTCCATTGGCCTCTACAAACCTGGGGATCCTTGGGAGGGCAGTCATGATGAGTCTCCTTCCTCAGGCTCAGGTATTTCCTGCCATGGAGACAATGCCTGCTTCCAGAGGCCTTTACAGCTCATTGGAGGATCAGGAAGACCACCTTAGATGGCCACTTCCTGGCTTCCTTCCTGAGAGGCAGGAAGGCCCTAGGGAACCTCACAGGAATCAAATCTCTGGGCTCTGTCCCTTTTCAGTACAGCCAAAGCTCTTGTCCAACATGGGCAAGAGACAGAGTGCCCATGACAGAAATGTGTCTTTCCACAATGTCAGAATTTATCAATAACAAATTTACAGGTGACATGGGTTTCACTGACTGTAATTTGCGAACTCTTTATGTGACACTGCACACATCTGGAGGTCAAGGTCCAACCCTAGGTGTCAGTCCTCACCTACCTTGCTTAAGACAGGGCTTCTTTGTGTTTGCTGTGCACCAAGGCTGGCCCACAACCTGTGGGGATTCTCCCATCTCCTCCTCCCGTCTCGCTGTAGGTGCACTGGGGCTGCAGCCATGTGCTACCACATCTGCCTTGACATGAGTTCTGAGGAACCACATGCTTGTGCAACAAGCGCTTTACCCACTGAGCCATCCTCCAGCCCTATTCTTATTCTTATTTTTTTTCTTAAAAAAAGTGTGTGTCGCCGGGGGTGGTAGCGCACGCCTTTAATCCCAGCACTTGGGAGGCAGAGGCAGGCTGATCTCTGTGAGTTCAAGGACAGCCTGGTCTGCGTAGTGAGTTCCAGGACAGCTGGGGCTACAGGAAGACCCTGTCTCAAAAAGACGAAAAAAAGGTGTGTGTGTGTGTGTGTGTGTGTGTGTGTGTGGTACGTGTACACGTGTGTGTAGGTGGGAGTGCCTGTGTGCATATGTGCAGGCCAGAGGAGGATGTCAGGTGTCCTACTTCATCACACTCCCCCCACCCCCCGTATTCCCTTGAGACAAGGTCTCTCACTGAACCTGGACCAAGACTGGCAGTCAGTAAGCTCCCCATAGCACTGGGGTTACATGCAATCACACCCAGCTTTTTACCCGTACTCTGGGGCTTTGAACTCTGGTCCTCATGCTTGTCCAGAGGCATTCTTACCTGATGAGGCATCTCCCTAGCCCTCCACCTTAGCTTTTGAGACAGTGTCTGTAACTGAACCTGGAGCTCTTGTTCAGCTAGACTGACTGGCCAGCAAGTCCCCCAGATCCACTGGTTTCCACCTGGCCCCCAACACCAAGGTTACAGATGCCTGTTGCTATGGCTTTTATGTCGGAGGTCTGAACTCAGGTCTTCATGCTTGTACAGCAAGCACTTTACCCATTGAGCTTCCTCTCCATCCTCTTGAGCTCCAAGCACAGCCATTTTTTTTTTTTTTTTTTTTTTTTTTTGAGACAGGATCTCCCTGTAGCCCCAGCTGGCCTGGAACTTGCTATGTAGACCAGACTGGCCTTGAACTCACAGAGATCCACCTGCCTCTGCTTCCAAGTGCTGGGACTAAAGGCGGGCCCCACCACCACGCCCAGCCCAAGCACAGCTATTTTTATAGAATTATAGGTTTTTTTTTTTTTTTTTTTTTTTTTTCTTTTGAGACAGGGTCTCCCTGTAGCCCCAGCTGGCCTGAACTCACTGTGTAGACCAGCAATGCCTTGAGCTCACAGAGATCCACAAGCCTCTGCCTCTCGAGTGCTGGGACTAAAGGTGTGTGCCAGGCATACATATTTTTAAAAAATCCGTATTGTTGCATAATTCTTGGTCAAAACAAACAAAACCCAGAAAAAACAGACTCTGGGAGCTGGAGAGATGGTTCAGCAGTTAAGAGCACTGGCTGCTCCTGCAGTGGACTCAGGTTTGGTTTCCAGCACCTGTATGGTGGCTGACAGCTGTTCATAACTCCAGTTCCAGGGGATCCAATACCTTCTAACCTTGATAGGTAGTGTTGTTAGGGTCCGTGACTCGGTGGGTCTCTTCAGGAGAACAAATGCACGAGTATGGAGATGCAAAAATCAAGCAGAGTTTTATTAGGCCAGCTAGCTGGGGCCGACCGTCCTTCCAAGACACGCAGGTCTGGTTGGAGCAATCGACCCCAAGGCAACTTCAGGTAGAGATTATATAGGCTCCCACAACCGTTACACAAAAGCCGCGTTTATACAACCAATAGTTTCAAAGCAAGCATTTCACAAACCAATAACTTCAAAACAAGAAAAATGTTACAGCTCCCTTCAGATGTCCCAATTGGGGAAGGGTGGGTGGTATGTGCCTGGCACAACCCTTCCCTGTTATCTGTGTAAGCAGACATGCCTGCATGACACGACACAGATCACACAGGTCAGGCTCCGGGGGCTGCAGCACTTGCCCCTATCTCCGGATGCCTGTGTCTCCAGCTGAGTTAATCAGTTACAAGCAGTAAATTCAGACAAGCAAATTCAAGCAGTAAATTCAGACAAGCAGCAAATTCCTCTTTCCCTAACACTGTACACTGGTCAGGCCAAACATTCATACACATAAAAATAAATAAATAAAAAAGAATAGAACTGAATCATTTCTCTGGCCCTGGTTGAGACAAAATCTAAACTGTCCCAAAGATCTTAATATAATGGAAATAGAGCACATCAGATGCTAAAAGCTTTTGCAATATGATGGTAACTAAGAACTTTGGAGCAGGAAAAGTCCAGAGTTAGAAATGGGGGATGTGAACAGGGCTCCCCCCCCCACTGTGGTTACCCAGGATAGAAGTCTTTGTTTTCCAAAACTACCTCATTCCTGTAACCTTCTTGGCCCTGTGTTATCTTAATTACCACATATATGCTATGTACCTTTTGCTTGCATTCCTCACATATAAAAGCCCCCCAAAACTTGAACAAGGGGTCAAACTTCTTTACAGAAGGATCTGTGGGTCAGTCTGGCTAGCATGAAATTAAACTCTCTTTCACTCGAGTGGCTGTAGGTCTTTGATTTTTCCACAACAGTAAGATTACTTCTTTCTTGTAGT